ATAGCAATAAGAGGTTCAAATAAAACTAACACCTGAACATTGTGAATCCTACACAAATTTTTAACTCTAAGTTTAGACTCTTTACAACCAATCCCTCTAACATTCCATAAAAGAGATTTAATCATTACAATCTTTTAAAGAATTTTGAGCTCTAGTGTTTCTCGGGGTAACAAGACACAGATTTTTGGAATTCTTACCTTTTTTCTTACCTCATTTCATAGAAAACTCCTCTTCAGTTATCAAATAATCCTCCTTACTTTTTTTAGCAATAGAAGAAGAAACCGTACCATGTTTATAAGGCGATTCATTTCCGGTTTTAGAGGGAGGCACAATTTCACCTTCTTCATAATGCTCATAATCCACCTCCTCTCCATCTTTATTAGTTTGATCAAGATCCTGTCTCGAAAGTAAAACATTTTCAATAGCCACAGAGTTTGAAATAGTAGGCATATCATTAAGCATATCATCAATCAAAATAAAAAGTTTAGGATCAGTTTTAGAAATGTCAGTAGTAGAGTCTAATATAACATCATTAGAGGTATTTAAAACATCCACAGGCATATCCAAATTGCCCACTTCCCCTTTACCGTTATCTGTCAGAGTATCGATCTCTTCCACTTGAGCCAAGGGAGAGGGAGGCGGTTCCACAGAAGTAATATTACCTTCTTTATTATCATGAACAAGGACATATACTTGTTTATTCTCAGTAGGTCCAGGATTCCCGTTATTAGAAATAGCAGACTTCTTAAGCTCCGGGTTCAATTTAAAGCAATCAACTTGTGCATGACCGTGCATTTTACAGTGGTTACAAAATTCTGAAACTTTTTCCAATTCAACCTTTTGCAAATAGCCGTAAGCCTTTGAGCCGACCCACACTTCCTTAGAATGCTTTTTAGAGATGTCAACTTCCACCAGTACTCTAGCAACAGAAGGACGAGTCCTAGCAGCAGTGGCCTGGTCTGTTTGCAACGGTCTACCGAAAATTGATCCCAGTGCATGTAAAACTTTGGAGTTAAAAAAATGTAATCAGAGATTAGGGAAGGAAATCCAAACCGGCACGATAGGCGATTCCTCCTTAATATCAAAAAACGGAGTCCACTTTAAAATTCGCATTTGATAGTTAGAAATGAAGTAGGACCGTCTAGCAAACACCCTACTGTAATCAAGATCATTAGATAGTTGGATAGCTACATGTCTAGAATCCAGAAGACCCACCGAATAGAAACCAGTAAGCTTAAGAGAAGAAAAAAAAATTCTAATGGTATCAAGATTAGGTTGACGGACACCAAACTTTCCGACCAAAGTAAATTGAAACGGCGACGCAAGTTTTAGGACTTCTTCATCAGAAAGAAGCACAGCCGGAAAACCAT